TGTTTAGATACATTTCACTGAAAGGATACAATGTATATCTTTTGAGTGAAATGTATCATTTCTGATCGTCTAGGCACGATCAAAGAGCTTTTAGTGAGATCTGAATCTGACTAAAGTCAGGATCAGTCTCTAAGGTTATTATTAGCTGTTCCTAAGTTTGGATCAGCCTAATAGCCAAAAATAAAATAAAAAAGTTAATTTATCAAGCTGTCATAGTGATTGCTTGATATAAACTGACAAGAAAAAAAAAGTTGTTTTTTTTAAAAAAAAAATTTTTTTACAAAGTGTAAAAAAATAAAAATAAAGTGTAAAACAAAATTAGGAAAATATGAATTATATATAAATATATTTGTTATACTATAATTAATATGAAAAATTCAAAAAAAAATAATAATCAAAACTTGTGAAAAAAGTGTTTTCTTCTAGTTTTTTTCCTCATTTTTGTTATTTTATTCAAACTAAGTGAGTGGTTAGGTACACATATGTGATATAATTATATAGCCCTATCTGTCCTCTAAAAAACTATATATAATATGTGTGGGTACATTTAGTAAGAAAGTATATTACTGCAGTGGAAGAATCACACAGCAAAAATGTAAAAAATGTGTCAGTCATTTATGAACAGAACCTGAAAACTAGCTCAGTCATGAAGGGGTTAAAGGCATGTGCATGCCCAGTGTCTCAAGGCCAACTTTGGCAAAATTGCTGGCTTTGCAGCTGCTCCAATTTCAACTTCCATATTCTAGAGCAGATGGGGAAAATGCACCTTTGCAAGGCCAAATCTACCCGGTTAATCAGACTGATGTTTTTGTGCCATAATAGACACACCCCTTTCCTTTAACCTCTTCATGACTGACGACATATAGTGCACGTCGCCAGCATCGGAGCTATTTAAACAGACTCCCAGTGGCTTTTGCTGCCAGGACTCTGTTTAAACTTGTAAAGCCGACTGTCCCTCCCCGCCCGGGGGCTTTTTGACCCCCAGCATCACCTTAAAGAGTACCTGTCACCACCATCTGCTATCACATGTGGGTTTGTAAGCCCCCCTATGTGATAGCAATTAAAATAAAGTAAGAAAAACAAACAGTTTTTATAATTAACATTAAATAAAATAAATCTTTAAAAAATGATGAATTTTTTTTTGAAAGTCCAGCGCGAGCACGTGCGTAGCCACGTAAACACGCGTTGGGTGCGCCTATGTATGAAAACGACGAACGCGCTACACATGTTGGGTATCGCCGCGCACGCCGGAGTGAGAGCAATAATTCTAGGGCCAGTATTTTTGGGTATCTCTAAGCTGATGACATGTGGGGGCTTTTAAAGTGTCGTCTATGGACTTTTTGGGGTACTGATGTTTGTCGCCGTTTCATGGACACACCAACTTTTTAACCTGGGCATGTTGGGTATCTAGTTACTCATTGTAACCTCATTCTTTATATTATATTTAAAAAATTGGTATTTTATTGTGTTTTGGGGCATTTAAGTACATTTGTCACAAAATTTAGGGTTCCATAAGGTGTCGCGCTAATATCGTACAACATAAAATTTTGCAACTGCCAACATTTTATTCTATAGGACTTTCATAACATATATAATGTTTGAGGGTTTTAAGTAATTTTTAGGCCTAAAATGTGAATTATAACATGGTGCAAAAAAACTAAAAAAAGGCCTGTCATGAAGGGGTTAATGTAGCAGATTGTTTATGTACAACTCAATGGTGTTTGCCTGAGCATTCTTTCAAGCCGCAGAATAGTTCCAGCAGTCTTCCTTTTTAGCCTCAGCATCTTCTCTTTCTACTGCCGAGCATAGGGGCTCCTCTATTCAAGCCCTTTTAAGTTCTGCGATGAACACTAAAGCTGCCCATAGACAATTATGACATGGTCTTTGCCCAATCCAGCCAAGAACAAATTGGATTGGGAACTGATTGTATATTCATAGATATGCTGCAATTTCTACAGACACCCCTGGGTGACTTCAGAGGTAAATACATCTTTAGATTGTATTTTCATAGACATTTGCTATTGATTCTCAGAGATAAAGCTGGCACCATGGGTGTCAAAACCTGCACTTTCTGCCAAAATACTTGGAATGAACTTTTGACCATCATTGCCTATTGCTAGACAAAGACTAGCCATACATAGCCCAGCAAAAGTAAGCAGTTTAACCAATTAATGTATTATTTGTGGGCATTGGGCCATGCAGAGTGTTGTAACAAGAGCGCCATTGTATAATTAAATCATTTCCACTGCCCTGGAGGAAAAGTAGGACGTTTTTATGTACGGGTGCCCCTTCCACCATCAGTGGCGTCAGGAAGAAGAGTGAGAGGGAGAGTAAGACTAGGACCGGTAGATGTCTCTGTGTCTGTCCTGTTCACTAGCCCATCTGCCCTTTTGTAGCTACATGGGGAACCAATAGCATGTACCATGTTTACATACATATTTATTTTTGTAGCATACAAATCGTTAACTGTGGTCAAAGCTGATCTCCAGGCAAACAAGGTTGGCAACGTTCTTTTCCTCCATGTATTTAAGCAATATAGCTCAGTCACCAACCTTCCTCAAGCCTACTGAAGCCTAGGGTTCCATTCTGCCCCAAATACCCGGTGATTCAGGGTATGGGGGAACATTTGACCTCCCATAATTCGGTGCTCAGGCCTAGAAACCAATCCCTAGGGGTGAGGTCCCCTCTGAGCTTACTTATCAGCCAATTCAGGTATTTTAGTGATAGCTGCAACAGAGGAAGGAGTGGCTGGGAAAGTACTGGAGAGGCAAGTACAAAAGTAGTTTGGGAGGGGGGCTTTACATACCGTCACTTTCCAAGTTCCCAACTTTCTTACTATATCCATGACCTCTAAAAAAAATAAAACGCTGTGCCAATACAATTACTTTTCAGTCAGAATCCATTTCATACTATGTGCTGTGGATTTTTGATGATTGCTAATTTTATTTAAAAATAAAATGCAGGCCTCTATCCATGTGTTTCAAAAAAACTGCCTTCTGGAGGTTTAGGCAGAGGATGTGTACTTCAACCCTAGTTGCTGTAGTGGATCTAGACTCCTAAGGGGAGACATCACCTGACCTTTTATTTACACGGTGTCCTGTTGCTGCAAAGCCCTGCTTCCCTTTCCCTCCATGATGTCCTGGCTGGTAAAGATAATACCTCCACCTCACAAAGAAGTATATGATCAGTTATTCCTGCTTGGAGGAGCAAGAAACCACATTCTATTGCACAGTGCATGAGGCCACACACTACGGAGCCGGTGGGCGGAGCCTTGGCCCGCCCCGTTGTGATCGGCCGGGACACCTTACACCGGCGCCTGCAACTTCCCCACAAGGTCACCGCTGCCACCCCAAGGCCGGGCCTTGGTGGCCTTGTGGGAAATCTGGGCCTGTGCACAGTGCTTCTTTGCAGCACTGGGGGTCTCTGGTTTGAATCCTGGCCAGGTCACTATCTGCAAAGAGTTTGCATGTTTTCCCTGTGCTTGCGTGAGTTTCCTCCCACACTCCAAAGACATGCTGGTAGGTTAATTGGCTCCAGTCTAAAATGGCCTTCATATGTATGCATGTGGGATAGGGATGTTAGATTGTAAGCTCCTAGAGGGAAGGGACTGATGTGAATGTGTACTATGTAAAGCGCTGCACAAATTGTTGGCACTATATAAATACCTGTAATAAATAAAAATTGTGGGGTGCTGGAATGGCTTTTATTTATTTTTTTACCTGCCTCTTCCTACTACAGTAAAGAAAAAAAGAAAAACGACAAAAGCAGATTTGGCATTATTCGGTTACAATACTGAAACTTTATTGTCTTCACATAGGTATTAAAATTACATGGCATTGCTTTATATTGCAGTGTTTGAGTATCAAAAGACAGCTGTATTGAAACCACAAACACATGACATTACAAATGGTTATTAAACATAGTTTAGATATGTTCTATGGAGCAGGACACAAGGCTTGGTCTTTGTTAGGATGAAAGTTACAACGCTGTGGGTTAATTCAATGGAATTGCGGATGGGATTTATGATTTGCATAATGAAGGTCTTGGAGCTCTCCGTACTGGCTTACTAGATCTTCAAGCTGAAGAACAATAAATGATGTTAAAATTAAACTTTTGTCAAAATAAGAACTTGCCACTACCCTTTCCACCCATTCTCCTTAAAGCTTAAAAAGTGACAGAAGCCTTAAAATATTGCTGTGGAACTGCTCCAGAATCCCATTGTGGCAGATGTTTCTGGCTTGTTCCCTCTCATGAGGCTGCCCATCTCAGTAACAAGCCAATAATAAGGTGAAGGAGGGGACTTAATCAGAGCATCAAGGTATCTAAGAGCACAGAGGAAACATCTGGAGGTTCCTGCAACAGAATGCAGGTATCTGTACAATGTTTTCCTCTGTGTGTGGTTGGGTGCCATTTTTTGTCAATGGCACCCAAATGCCTTGTATAGTAGCTGCTAACTCACCACAACGCTAGGCTGTGCCAACAAACAGGTGCATGTCCATCAACTGGCCCAATGAGGTGCTTGGCAGCCTATTCATAATACCCAAATGTACCTCAACAGACGATATAGATGTACATGAAGTCATGTAGGCATGATAGTGGAAGGGTCTTATTTTGAGTAGAGTCACTGAAGCAAGCTATAATGTGATAGGTTACTAACTAGGCAAAGGCATTAGAGAAATGGATTTCACTTTGATAACACAGTAATGAAACACAATGAAATACCAGGGAAAACCAAACACTTGCTTTACATGAAAAGGAAAAGCGTTTTAAAATAAAGAAATAAAAAAAGTTCACCCCATCAGAAATTAATCCTCTGGTACTAACACTGTGGTACACAATTGATTCAATTTGACCCATTTCCGACCATCATATCTAGACCCCATCGCCATCCGCAATTCCACTAAAGAGAACCATCAAGGTGTAACCCTGAGCCCTATGTCATTGTCAGGATACCTTAAGATACAACAAGTATGTTAGTAATATTAAAAAAGTAACTCGGAGCTTATTAAATACATCACACCATAAGCCTATTGTGTACCTTTATCCCTGAATATAGCCATAATTTACTGCTATGGCAGGCGTATAATATTCAGTACATGATCAACAATTAACATAAATTACTCGCTAGATAAGACTGTAAAGTCGCTTTGTGCCCAAAGAAATACAATGGATTGTCACTGATGTCGTGTTGAGACGTATAGAGGCGAAGGAACTGGGTGTATTCTAGGCAAAGCTTTCCACTGCTCTATTATTTTGAAGGGCCAATAAATAAACCCAAATAACCAAATCAGATGTATGGAGCTGATAACATAGTTCACAAATGTACAGGTTATAACTGACATGTGTACAGAACCTGTATGTGATCATGTGTTTACATCTGCTTTCATTGTTTTAGGCCAAAGGCACACCCAAAACCACAAGATGAAAAATAAATGGTCTGGCCAATCTTGGTTTAATTGGGAGACCATCTCGCACCTACAGGTACCCTGTAAGCGGTTATACAGCCTCTGGTTGACTGATCTCCTGAGAAGAATCAGTTGGCTGGACTGGAATGGGGTGTGCATGGTGTATAACTTTTTTTTTTACCAGCAGTCAGATCTTTGGGTGGCCATTTTCAGTGAAACCCTTTACTCCTTCTAAGCTTCCTGCTGGGGACTCTACAATATACAGGAAGTCTGATTTGTGAATAATCTCTGGCGTCCTGGGCTGGTGAAAATGAACAATGACTGGGACACCACAGCACTTGTGTTCCAATGAGCCCTGGGAGTCCCTCTGCCATTGTGGCAGATGGAATTTGTAGTCTTTCTATTCACAGACTTTTGTGAATGGTTGACATGAATGTGTAGGTGGAGCATGCAGTCAGGCTATATGATTAAATCAACAGGATGCGCCAGGAAGCACCCCACAATTCAGGTAAGTAGGAAGGGTGGTTTTGAAGGTCGGCGGTTGGGGAATGTGACCATTTTTCATGTTATACCCTAAATATGAGTTTAACGTGACACAGGGTCACACAGGTGGAGTGAGGCTTCAATTGAGTTATGTATTCATAAACAAAAAACTATTTTTAATACAGCCAACATATGCATCAAAAATCTGTATTTAAATTGGCTTCCCACAATCCTCTGCACAGCAGGGCTAAAAGTGGGAGGGCCAGCACATAGAGCCAACTTGGGCTCAACTGCATTTCACAATGCTGTCAATCCTAGGGTGCCCATACACTGTTCAAATTTCGGACGTTTTTTGAGGAACCCTTTCGGCCAGCATCCCTCGATCAGCAGATCAAATGAACTGGCCGGAAACTCTTCGTACAATCAGAACCGGCCACTGGTTGCGGACAGAAAGGCAAACAGCGGGATTCATTGATCGACACACTCGCAGTGTTGATGGAGTAATCTGCTCTAATTTTCCCGTTCAGCCTGCCGGTTAACCAAGAAAAAAAGATCAGTGTACGGCCAGCCTTACACTGGAAACTTGCTTGTAGGAGGAAAGAAAACATGGTTGACCACATTATTTTTTATTAAGAACTGACAGCTTAGTAAAGCCCTTAAATTTACTGGCCCTTTAACTGAATTCTGAACAAAGTGTCCATTAGTATATTGATTTGGCAGTGTAAGCGACTGATGTTGATTTATAAGGAATAGCCTTCAACATGGGGTCTGATGTACGTGTGAAGGCTTTTCCAGTGTTCACGAGTGCGGTTATCTACTAATCTGGTTAAACATGACCAGTTCCTTTGCCTCTACTATTGACGAATAGTAAATAAGCATCCAAAATATATACAAAACATAAATGAGTGAGAACAAAAGGAAGTCTCCCAAATGTTGCATTTCTATTGACTCTGCATACATACCGAGTGACAAAAGTTGCATAATATCGGCTGCAGAATAAGCACCTACCTTAAACTATACAAATAAAGTTAATAAGATCATATAATTCTTTCATCAGAAAAACAAATGCTGCACCCTGAAATCATCTGGAAAAGAGGTAGTGTATGTATATGCATTTTCTTTCATTTTCTATTTTTTTTAACATTGAAAATGAATCTTAGCTTTCCATGCCAAAGACTCAAAAAGTCAAAATACACTGTCACAAAATCAGGACATTTAGGAGAACTTTAAGAAACACAAATAACCAATAAGGCAAAGAGCAACATGCAAAGTGAAGTAACCCAGGGCAACCAGTCAGAATGTATGGTAAACTGATCTAGCAGCAGAAAAGTAATATCCGATTGGCTGCTGTGGACTAGGGCACCTTTGTACGCCGTAGATACTCTTTGTTCTGGTTTAATAAGCAAGCCAGGAAATGGTAGTCTTGGTGTACTTGAGCATGTTGATATTTAATGGGTTCCAGTTACCATGTGCAAAGTAGAAGCCGCCATTTTTTTGGGGTTATACCTTATGTAGCCGTTTACCAACTGAGTCCATAGCAGTGGTAGAATGCCTTTACTCTTAAATATTGCTGAGAGCCCAATGCTGACTTTCCACGGCAGTATACTGGCTCCCTTTGATGGGGGCAGTGAAAGCAATTGCTGGTATATCGCAAGTTGAGAAGGTCCTCTTATTGGGCCAAGTTTCAGCTTATTCACATGGAAAACGTAGAACAGTAGTGTTCCCATCCTTCAAGAATAAAGCCATTAAACAGAACTGCACTCTGGTTGGCTATATAGGGGTGGCCAAGTTCATGTAGAACTCAGAAGCCAGGAAATTCAAAGAACCACTAGATAGTCCTAGTGAGAATGTCTAGTGAGTACTAGTATAGGCCACATAGAGCTTCAGTTAACAATAGTAGAAGATGCAGATAACTTAGGTGGAGGCCTCACACAGCAACAGGAGCTCTTTAAAATCAACAGTTCAATTTTTTGTACAGAGACTGAAAAGCTGCATAACCTACTATCACGCACCTACAAAAGTTAAAGGCTCAGTCCAACCAAGAGTCACCCACTGGTCTCTCTAATGCTGCCCACATACCATTCTGCCAATTTTAACCCTTTGATTGCAAAAGTTATTGAATGGATCACAGCAACCTTTCAAAGTTTCAGTTTTGTCTTGGCTTTGATAGAGACTGTTGTTGGTACATTGACTTTATATGTTTGGTCGTTCTTGCACTAGGGTGGGCTGGCTGAAAGTGCCTAGTATATAGCCAGCAAAAGAGATGCAATTGGTGACATCGCTTTTTCTTAGTTCCTGATCTTGCTTTCGCCCACTTTGATATGTTTTCACTTGTCATGCTGAATTTCTCATATAAAATAGATTTAAAATCCAAAAGGGAGAGTGGGACACCCTTGTAAAGAGCACAGCATGCATGCAAGCCTGGAAAAATAAACACGGATATCTCACTACTGGAGTCCCCAGGACCTTGTATATGACGGGCTCCAGGTTGTATAAGAGCAGGGTGTACAGTGAGCTTTCACAAAGCATTTGCAAAGCTTTTAGCAAGTTAAAGCAGTTTTGTTGAAGCCTCTAGTATGGGCATGTTAAATCTAGATCTTATGGGGAGCGTTAACGGTCACTTTAAACGCATGCTAGCTGGATTTCAAGTGTCAAGTAGTGCTGAAGCTTATTGAAACCTGCTAGATAGTACTCGTTTAAAGTGACAGTCAGTTGCAAAGTTTGATTTAGAAATTGCTCCGATACAAGCTGAAGTCCATATGCACTAGGCATTAGAGACATATGGACTTGTCAGATGGTTAAAGGATAACTAAATCCAAGAACAAAATTCAATATGTTGATTATCAGTCCTTAGATGTGGTGAATGCATTTGGGGGTTTTTTCTTTTCAGTCTAAGAACATTTTGGGCAAGTACAGAAAATTCCTGTTGGCCAGAAATGCGGTGTCCTTGTCACTTCCGTGAGCTGAACTGAAAGCACAAACATACTTATCTTGCTTTTGTAAATAAATAATCCCATCATCCCCAATGTAAAGGAGATGAATAAAGGCAGACATATTTAAAGTCCAGTTTGGGTGAGAACCCTGGCTTTCTCCATAGATTCAGTGCAGGAAGTGAACATAGCCACCCATGGACAGGAAGTTTCCAATCCAAAGAATTTTCCAGGAGGAAAAAACATCTTGAAAAAAGAAAACTAATTTATTCACCTCTTCCTAGGACTGGTAAGCTGTAAAATTACATTTAAATTTTTTGGGTTAGACTTTCTAGCATCAACAAAACACTGACATAACATATTTGGGTGGACTGACCCTTTAAATTGGGGATTACTAAAAATGACATCCATGGAGTGATACACAGATGATGTTATTTGTCACAGTAACATATATAATACCTCTTTGTCCCAGTTACTTATCTAGGCATACAATTAAAAGTCAAAATACGATAGAAACAGAATTTACATAAGCTTGCATTGAATGGAGTCATCAATTTTACATTGATCATTGTTATTCTAGTTCTAACCCCATAAAGATTGTTCCCCGATATCCAAGGCAAGTGACAAATGTATTATATACCATGTCAGAGAGAGGGTTACATTTTTTTTATATGCAGACATACACGTCCAGTTTTGACACGTCCAGTTTTGAGGTAGGAAGTTTTTTTTTATTTCCCTAAATTATATGTATAGATGATAAAGAGGTATATTAAAAAAAAGCACATTAGATCATGCCCACATTGAAGATGCAATAAAATTATTTTCGATTTTAGTTAACTAAATAAAAAGCGCCATCAGAAAAGCTGAACGCTCATCTCCAGCTAAGACTATATTTACACAATAAAATAGGCAGAGCTATATATATTTTTTTTAATAATCAGATTAGTATTTGTCTATTTATGACATGCAAGAAAAAAACAATTGTGCTTTGGAGCATGTAAAGTACATAAAGGGAAGTATCTGTACACTTTAGAGTTAAAGGACATATTCACTTTCTCACTTCAGTAGGGAAAGGGGAAGCGAGTGTGAGGTGTGAATAGTTTACTTGGGTATAATGCCACTCATTCACTCAGGGTATAAATAAAATCTTGGGTGTTCATAAGTGCTTATAAAGGTTGCTTTAAATGCATACCCCACCCCTCACTAGACTCATTATTAGCCCATTAGGCTGCCAATCACAAGAATGAGCCAATAGCAACGTTCAGGAGGCAGGAGGGGCAGGGCAAGGCTTTCAGCCCAGCAAGCTGAATCGAGTTCCTCGGGGGGTTCAGGATGCTGAAGGGGACATATGCCCCGACATTGTGGAATCTGAAGAGGCCTGTTGTGTGGTGCCAGCAGCCGTTCAGGTATACCGATGTCAAGTTTGCAATTGTCATGGAGGGAAAGTGGGGTGTCTGTCGATCCAGGTGGTGCCAGTAGAGCCACCATCTTTTAGAATTTTTGGTGATTCCTATGAATCGGCTGAAATTCTAACAGTACAGGACATCAGTGACACCCAGGGAAAAGTAGCTGAAGTGCAAATAGAATGGGTCACATGGGTGCAAGAGCATAAAGGAATGGAGAAAGTGAGCAATACTTGCACACTACGCTCATCCCACTTATATACATTTAGAGGACATCTCCTTTACAAAACATAAATATATGAACCATGAGTATTTTTAAATGGCTGTAGTGCAGATACAACTGAACGGACAAGCGACTCAGACATCAGCTCAGTCCTAGATATTGAATTTTTTTTCTTCAAATTTTGTGTTTTAATTGGAAGCACCAAATTCTCCCCAAACTTCCACCCACATGGGTTACTGCTCACCATTGCTCTCTGTACTGTAATTAAAGGACACAATTAAAAGGACAATTATAGAAGCTGGCATTCCCAATTTGTTTTTAAAAGGCATGCTCAGGAACAGTCATCCTTGCTTCCCTGCTTAATTAGTCACCTACCAATACTAAGTATACAGGCCAAGAGAGTGTCTACTTTACAACCAAAGCGATGCTTAATGCCCCAATACCTGGAACTGATAAGATTCTTAGATAGGTTGGTGATTTGGACACAGCACATAAGACATTTGCCAGCAAAACAGTCGCTGAATTTCAACCTCAATTATCGCCTATGAAAGTCCCTTCATTGCAGCTCGAACACATAGCTGGTTCGGGCAGTGAGCAAGCCATCTATAGAATAATGTAAGTTGAATCACCAGTGACAGACTTCCCTATCTATTAAGGTGCATCCCTACTATTAACATAACCCTTACCGATACCAAGTACTGTACTCGGTACAAGTACATGTAACGATACCTTTGAGCTCCAAGACTAGACTAGAGAAAAATTCAAAAGTTAGGAGTCCGCTGTCATGTGTAAGGAGCACACGGAGCTCCTGGGATTTGTACATCTCTGTTTTAATGTACGATTTTGTTTTTATAAATATAAATAAAGGGATGCACAGATACCAGTTTTGCAAGCACAAGTACTGATACTCGCCCAAGTACTCACAGATACGAGTACCGATACATTTTTGGTTTCTGTCATTCTGTTTTTTTTCTAAAACAATACAGACTAATGATTTCAGGACAGTGGTGGAGCGCCAGATCCTGATCCCAGCTGCAACCCTGGTAGTTCTCATGAAAATGCCAAGTATCTGTACTGGTATCTGAAAAGTATCGGTGCATCCCTATTTAATAGGTTAGTTCAAACAAAAATGATATTTCAGTCTTAAGTGGGATTAGGTGGGCAGATCTATCTCTTAGTGTTTCCTGTCTCTTGAGAACTCTAGTAAAAAAAAAAAAAGCTACCTGGCATCCTTTCAGGCAGAGTTCCTTGGAGACATAAGAGCCCATACAGTGTCTGCACTCTACCAAAAAAACTGAAATATCAGCTCCGAGTAGACTTCTCCTTACATGAATCATCCGAAATCACACGTAAGCCCAGTACATGAGTCATCTTGTAATACTGAACACTTCCAGGGAATACAAGTTGCAATCTGCGGCCTGATATTGCATGCTGAATAAAGACCTCCACCCTAAGCTATTCATTTATTCACAGGCCAAGGATAATGGGGCTATCTAGTGTGTAAAATTCAGCTTACCTGAGAACCTGTAAAATGTGAAGATCCAACATGTAAGGTGTTTCCCCAAATGTCCCTTTTGCTGCACATATTAGTCCCACCCATCAGATACTACTGCAAACCCCATTTAATGTAATAGATTAAACTATTATTTAAGTTTTGTATAGAAAAGGAGAGAAGGTTAGAACTGTTACACTGCATACCATACACCTGTGTCCTAATAACATGAAGACATAGTCCATTTAAAGCGCAAGTGTGTACTGAAATCTTTTTTTTTGTTAAGGAATGGTATTGTAAGGACATTTTCAGCCTTTTGTGACACTATATGACCAAAAGTATGAGGCCAGCCCCTAAAATGATCGAATGCATGTGTTTTTAGTGAACTGTACTGTTAATGTCCTTTAGACAATTGTGTGCTTCTAATTTTGTGACAACCTTATTCTGTTCCAGCATGACTGTGCACAAAGCCAGCTCTATAGATACATGGTTTGATGGGTTTCGAGTGGAGCAACTTGTGTTGACTGCACAAAGCCCCGACCTCAATCCTATTAAACACCTTTGGGACCAACTGGAACGCCAACTGCGAGCCAAGTCTTCATATCCAACATCAGTATCTGACTGCGCAAATGCTTTTTATGCTGCATGGCTACATAGTCCCACAGACTCCCTCTGGAACCTCCTGGAAAGCCCTCGCAGATAGGTAGAGGCTGTTATAGCCTCAAATGGTAGCTCAAGCCAATATGAATGCCCATGATTCTGAAATGGGACCTCCAACAAGCTCATATGGGTGTGATGGTCAGATATCCACAAGCTTTTGGTCATATAGAGTATAAAGGTTAGCACCTCTGTTTTTATTTCTTTGTTCCTGTTCGGAACATTTCCAAGTGGTACCAGAAAAAGAAGAAAGAGGAAATCTTCTCCACACCAGCAGAGGTTCTAAGCCTTTCCCACTCCAAGTAAAACATTTTTGGCTGGAGTTGTACTTTAACATCTAGGCAGTACCAGTGGCGGGAATGAGCAGGGGTTGTCAGCGGAACATCATCATGCAGGATCTTCACAATGATGTAGCAAAGGAAGCATCATTTAAACACACAGTCTCATCACACCCACCCTTACTATAATGCTTCAAGGATTTTCTGTAGATTTTTGAATGCTACTTTGAGAAAAAAAAAGAAAATCCTATTTTTTCCTGTTAAAGAAGATACAAAAATAAAATATTGCTTTCTTTTAAATAAAGAACTGTCCCTTTCAGGGTCAGGGTTAGTTTTGTTCATCAGTAGTGCATTTAGCAGACATCTGTTGGCAAAAATCAGCGATGGCCCCTGTCGTGCCGGACTGCCTCGGTGACACTGTTACATGTGGTCTGGCTGTCATGTGAGCAGCATTATGCAAAACACTGTTACCCTCGTCTGCCTGGCGTCGCGAAGCCTCTCCAGTGTCTAGTAACCCTCCAGCGAACTCCTGCAATATGGCTTCACACTGAAGGAACATCTTGCCTTTTTCTGGCACCAGGAAGGACAGCGGGCACTCGGAGCTGGAATACTTTGCCAGGATGTGGATCTGCTCGCGGCTCAGGGCAGCCTCGTGGCAAACTTTCTGGCAGAGTCCGGTGAGGTTTTTTTTGGTTTCTCCCAATGTGGATAAAATTTGGTCCCTCTCCTTGAGCAAATGTTCCTTCTCGTTTTCCTGGGGGGGTGAAAAAAAACAAAAACACATGACTTACACATTACAGTTGTATGCAAATGCTTGGGGATGCTTGCTCAAATTATGTTATTTTTCTATTTAAAAGCTACCAAACTCTGCCGGGAACAAACTTGACCTACTCTTTGTGATATTTTAAGGCATCATGACTATTTTGGGTACATTTAATTACCATCAGGCCTTCAACATCTGTTAGTAGCTGTCAAACTATAAAAACTTTACTGCAAAGAAATATGTTTTTTGTGTTTGTTGCAACCCACACAGCACATTGAATTGGAGCAGAGCCCACTGTATGGAGCAGAGCACAGCCCCACTGCATCATGGGAGATTAACCATTATGCAAATAGCCCTTCCTTTTCTTATTGGCCAACAATATGCATAATAAAGCTACAAAAGGTTCTGGAAATTCCAAGTGTGAATGCCTAGAGGCTCCTGGCGGCCTACTCTAAGGACCCTGGGGCAACTTTACAATGGGTAAAGACGGCAACAGGTTTGTTATAAAAGCAGACTTCAAGTATGTAGTCTGTCATTGCTGAATATTTTGAAAATGTTATTAACATGACTATTTAGGTGATCTGAAGGCTATATTGCTTTTTGAGGCACTGGCCCAAAACAAGACTGCAGATCAGGGTTTCTGCCTAACTGCATATTTGTCCCAGGTCCAACATTCAAAATGTATTCAGGCCTCAGTACAGGTTACAATATCTTGCCTTTCAGCTAGGCTGCAATTTAAAAGTAAGCCTACAGTAAGACCAGAAAATATACTAGGCTGCAACCACTTGGTGCCTTCATGCCAGTCAAGCTTTTCAGCACTGGGGTCATCGGTTCCAATCCCAACCAGGACACTATCTGCATGGCGTTTGCAAGTTCTCCCAGTGCTCGAGTTGGTTTCCTTCCACACTCCAAAGACCTACTGGTAGGTTATTGTCTCTCGTCTGTGTACATACAAGATAGGAACTTAGATTGTAAGCTCCGCTAAGGGCAGGGACTGATGCGAAGTAGGAGACGACCGTCTATTGGATCTACCGATCATTATGGCCGATATATTAACACATTTGTCAATAATTGGTATCGGTCTTAGAGGAGAATCATGGGGAGAGTGAAATACACTCATCCCCATAATTACAGCTTCCATGCCACATGTCTGCTCTATAGATAGAGAACTGGGTGATCACATACCGCTGATCACTCAGTTCCAGATCTTCTCCCTACAGAGAGTGGTGATTGTCAATCACTGCTCCCACAGGGATTGCCCCCTCTCCGTTATGTTCCTCCAGCGCTGACTGGAGTAACAGACGCGGAAGGGGCGGGCTATATGCTGAGTTTTTAGTAAATGTCCTCCTGTGACCCTAAAGAGAACCAACACCAAAAACGTTTGGGCCATAGTTCTCTTAAAGCTGAACTATGGGGTTAAGGCTTTTCCCCATAGTTCTCCTTAGGGTAACGGGAGGACAAACTAGCGTCCTCCCGTCACCCTTAGCTCAGTATACCGCAAGCTGCAGCTCGCGGTATACTGAGACGCGGCAGCCGGAGCGGATCCCGACGTAGATGACGGGATCCGCCCAGCTGCGTGAGTGACAGCTGGCTCTGCCTATCTAGAGGCTGAGCTAGCTGTACCCGCCCCTTCCCCCGTCCGTTCCTCCAGTCAGAGCTGGCTAATCGGAGCGTGGATGGGGGAATCCAGCCCCTCCCCTGTCACGGCAGAGAGCCATGACAGGATCGAGAGGTGAGCGAACGCTGGTATGTGTTCGCTCACCTCCTGATCTACTGAGCCGACCTGTGACAGTCTCAATGTCACAGGTTGGCTAGAACTATGAGGTGAGTGAAAAGCACTCACCTCATAGTTCTCCTTTAAATTTACTCATAAGTGTCGACAAGTGAAGGGGAGACTCTGCCGGCAGGCACCCTGCTGCTGCAGCAGCAACCAGTACCTCCAGTGTCCCCCTGCACATCCAGTGCCTCCAGTTTACCTCCTCCCCCAACTTTCCAGTGTGCCCCCACATCCAGTGCTTCTAGTGCGTCTCCCCCCGTGACCCCCCACAGCCCCATTCATCTTTTTTGGGTCTAGATTAAATTCAGATGCCGGCTGCTCAAACAGCAGGCAGTGAGCTGGAGCAATAGCCAGCCTGCTATTGCAATTTGAAATAGCCAATAGCAGGAAGGCAAGTGCTCCCGCCCACTGCCTTCTGTCAATCAGCAGAGGAGCGGACCCGATAAAGAAAGCCTCTCTCAGGTCTGCTCCTCTGCTGTTTGACAGCAGACAGTGGGTGGGTGCAATAGCAGCAGGCAGTGGGTGGGTGCAATAGACAGCCTGCAATTTGAAATAGCCAATAGCAGACTGGCAATTGCTCCCGCCCACTGCCTTCTGTTAAAGGAGAACTATGGGGTCAGTGTTTTTCCCCATAGTTCTCCTTAGGGTAACGGGAGGACACAAACTAGCGTCCTCCCATTACCCTAAGCTCAGTATACCGCAAGCTGCAGCTCGCGGTATACTAAGACGCGGCAGCCGGAGCGGATCCCGACGTAGATGACGGGATCCGCCCAGCTGCGTGAGTGACAGCTGGCTCTGCCTATCTAGAGGCAGAACCAGCTGTACCCGCCCCCTCCCCCGTCCGTTCCGCCAGTCAGCGCTGGCAGATCGGAGCGGGGAGAGGGGAATCTAGCCCCTCCCCCTGTCACGGCAGAGAGCCGTGACAGGATCGACAGGCGAGCGAACCCGGTATGTGTTCGCTCACCTCCCGATCTACTGAGCCGACTTGTGACAGTCTCATTGTCACAGGTCGGCTAGAACTATGAGGTAAGTGAAAAGCACTCACCTCATAGTTCTCCTTTAACATTCAACTGCCGGCTGCAGAATCTTGCTGCTGACAGATAAATCCCCAAGCTATGTGTTCATCTGCTGGCGCAAGATTCCACAGCCGGATGTAAACAGAATATCGGCACCTGACATCGGCTATCGGCCTGGAAAAATTATTTCAGTCGACCCCTACTGTGAATGGACAGTATGCAAGGGGTTTCCTAAAAGGTCAGCGCTATATGAATACCTTTAATAAATAAACAGTATAGTATGCAAATAGAGCCAGCTTTTGTGGTGGGACCTGCACCTTGCGTACCTCACTAATGGCCCATTCGTGTGATGGACAACCTCACTGACCAATGGGAGAAAGCAAAGCTATGAACAGCAGAGCTCTGGATCTGGTCGGTAGTTGGGCATTAGAGTACCACAATTTGACAGTTTCTAGGGCATTGTAGAGCAATGTGAACCAATGTGAATGCTTTTCAGGACACCTGCTGTACATCTGCATGACACAATACAAGAAAATAAACTGTTAAGAGTTTTCCTTCTCAGAACTTCCACTGTGTCCACACCTCCGCTATCCTACCAGTCATGCTGTGTCACACACAGCTTCGTTATCAGCTGTAAACACGGACACGCAGCCTACGTCAATGTAATACATCTGCTCATTTCCACACGTATTCCACTCTGCACGGCTCAGTGTTCATTAACCCTCTGCATTCCAGGTTTTTCCTGAACTCCCTTCTACAGCTATAGCAACATATATACAGTTACCCAACATCGCTCATACCCTGTCCCAGTCCCTGCTCTCTTACCAAGATACACAATAAAAGAAAACACCTATGCATTTTATTGGTAATGTTGTGACATTTACCTGAAATTAATTTACCATGCGTCGGTCATTATTTGTTGCTACGGATTTAGATTTTATTTATAGGGTTAGTTCACCTTTAGGGACATTTCCCCAAAAAATTGCCATGCATTCCAGCATGCTATGTTGAACATAACTCACCACTTAGCATAAAAAAAATGCCCCGCTGTCATGTCATACCTTAGGCCTGACTGCAAAACTATCTGCCAGGTAATCCACAGAGAAACTCTCATTAGTGCTCCTTTGAATGTGTAAATATAGATGTAAATCTTTAACATGCTAAAGCAATTTTCAAAGTATTTTTTGGACCCTTCACATCACCAAGGGGCCACACAAAATACTTAAAGCACAACTAAAGGCTCCTGTATGTCAGTCTAAACAAGTCCTAAATCCAGTCACTATGTGATGAGCAAGCCTCACAAAGTAAACGTAGTGAGCCAAATCCTCCTTCATATGGGTCTCACATGATCCCCGTTCCCAGAAACGGCAAATCCTTGTGGGAGGGTTTCAGCAACAGAGGCAGTGCTCTCAATCCAGAAAGCAATGGGCAGTGACAATGCTAATAGTAAAGCCCCCTTGCAACATTTTTTCATCCCACTATAGACAGGATTTTATTTTAGGAGCCAGTACCCTTGACAACAACTAGAGAAAACCTGAAAAGGCGCCGACTGTGATTTTTAAGGAGCACCAGCGACCTGGCTCCTGGGATATATCCAGCCCTGCTGTAATGTAAATGCATACAAGTTGAAAATGAAACTGACAAGCAAAACGTTTAAAAACATGGCAAGGCCACAAGGACGCCTCAAAGTGACCATAGAACATAAGTTGTTCTGTCATTTCTTACTCAATTCTAACCTTTCACAACTGAATACTATTGATTACAAACCTGTGTAAATACAATGAAGCGTGTTGGTGTATAAATGCAGCTTCCACGCGTCGCCTCCCACTGGAATGTCTACAGGCACTGAGTCATCGGCAGAGACTGTACATTCAATGACTCCACGGCGTGTTACTCATTGTAGACTCAGTCACATGGTATGACGAGGAAGTTGGATGGCAGAAATAAGAATTCTACTTTGATCTGACTGTATTAGCATTAAAGGAGAACTATGAGGTGAGTGATTTTCACTCAGCCTCATAATCTGAGCCGACCTGTGACAATGAAACTGTCACAGGTTGGCTCAGTAGATGGGGAAGTGAGCGAACACATACCATCGCTCGCCCACTTCTCGATCTATCCGTGCAGAGAGCCGTGACTGTCACTCACGTCTCCCTGCAGGGATTCCCACCCTCCCCGATCCTCCAGCGCTGACTGGCGGAACGGACGGGGGAGGGTACAGCTGGCTCTGCCTCTAGATAGGCAGAGCCAGCTGTCACTCACGCAGCTGGGTGGATCCAGACAGTATTGTCGGGATCCATTCCGGCTGCGTCGTCTCAGTATACCGCGAGCTTTAGCTCCTGGTATACTGAGCTTTGGTGACGGGAGGACGCTAGTTTGTGTCCTCCCATTACCCTCAGGAGAACTATGGGGAAAAGCACTGACCCCATAGTTCTCCTTTAAGTATCAGCTTTCTCTTTTAAATGACACTTGATAAAATCTGATCTGATTTATTAGGTGTCAGGACTGACAGGGAGGAAACCGCCAGCACCGCCCAAATCATCCAGACATATTCTTCATGCAATTCCAACCTATACTGGAAAATGAAAGCTGGAACCTGGACAGTAGCTACAGGCAATGTAAACACTTGTTACCATAACATCTTAAAGCGAAACACCTCACAGACTTAGAAAGTAGTCAGAATCAAAGACTAGGTACAGACAGGTGAACATGATTTACTGCTCGACTGCCACAGAGAAAAGTCAGGTTACCAGTTTAGCAAACCTGTGTATATCTGAGCACTGAATGGAACAGCAAAACACTGGGTTTTGAAGACATTTTTCGCTCCATAAGATGGAGTTGTTTTGTTCTGCATCAGGTCCACCTCTGTTGATTGACAGCAGGCAGTGGGCGAGTGCAATAGCCAGCCTGTTATTGGCTACTGCAATTTAAAAGAGCCAATAACGGGTTGGCTATTGCGGGCAGCTGCTGGAATGGAGAACGATCACGCGGACGCCGCGGGGGGGGGGTGAGTAGACGGCACGGGGAGGAAGCTCACAGACTGTCGGAGGTTTCTCCTTACAGTCTGTAATCGGCTGCCTGTCCCCACTGACGCAGATCGCTGCAGCCGATTACAGACTGTAGGGAGAAACCGCTGGCAGTCTGTGAGGCTGCAGCAGAGAGAACGGGACGGGCACACACTGTCAGCCCCCCCGCCTTAGCTCTCACACACACACACACACAACACCCTGCGGAAGTTGCTGTACGCGTTATATCTGTAAGCACAATTTATGTGCACAGCTCAACAGCCTTCCTCACAAAATTTTCAAAAAGGTACTTGCTTATCTGATGGGTGACTACAGGAAAAAATCGGCTATAGAAGTTCTGCTTCCTTACTCCCTTTTTTACTTGAAGCCTGTTTATTGAACAATGCAGGAGCAGCAGCACACTGATTTTCATTCCCAGGCTCCCACTCCTGTAAGAATGTTCACAGTGTTTGACATCACTGAGCAAAGTGATAGATCCATGATTGGCTCAGAGTTCTGGGCCACCTTCTCCTAGTCTGTTGTAATGGGATTGCAAGACATCATAGCAAATGTGATCAATATGCCACAAACCAGCAGCAACCTACCAGCTTCATGATCTCACTCTCCAGGTTCTGGATACAGTCCATTTTTCTCTTCCGGCAGCGCTGAGCAGCAATCCTGTTCTTGCTCCTTCGGCGTATATCGTGGATACAGTCCAACTGGTCCGATGTGAGGGTGTGCGTTTTCACCAAGGATTGGAAGTCATAGCGCGAGAGGGAAATGATCTTCTGGGCATTGAATGGCAGTGTCTTCTGTAAAAGAAGTCCAGTATGTAGGATGAAACAATGTTTGCTGGGATGGTAAATACGAGCCTTCAGATGCTAATGAAAAAAATTGGAAAACAAACAGCCCGGCTTTCAAGTCGCTTTCACTGCAATACTTACCCCTTCGGTCGGGTGCTGTCCTCCACAAAAGGTGTTCTCCACTAGATGGCTCAGCTCTTCTGGGTTAAATGGTGACCAGCGTCATTCAACTCACTTCCTGGGAGTCCAGGCTCACTATACTACAAGTCATTTCACGAGTGCCATTAAGTGCACGAGTAACGCTCGGCCACCTAATCGTAAAGGGCCCATGTAATTATATAACCGGCTAGAAAACCCTTGGAAAAAAAAAAAGATACGTATTCTTTCATTTAAATAAAATGGAGAGGGCAGTGGCTAGGTCATGTAAAGCTGGAAATGGGCTTTAAAAGTTCTGTGACGACCATTGGGGAGATGTCCCCTCCTTTCCTGTCCCTTTGACTTTCATACATGAATAGAGGTGGGGTGGTGCACTTTTTTTCTTTGGAACATAAATGCATGGAACACAATATAAACATTGTAAAACTCTCAAACCATTCTCCACTTGTTCCCCTGTTGTAGAGATTTCCTATTACTTCCTGTTTTAACAACAGATTCGTCATCAATGTGAATAGAAACATTTGGGTAAATAAAGCAGCATGAAGACTGAATGTTACAGAAAGAAATGTGTGTCTTAAGGTGCCCATACACCTGCCGATTATCGTACGATAATCGCAGGTGATCCCGCGATTGTACGATAATCCGCAGGTGTATGGGCAGCGTGCGACCTCTTCTTCTGGGCGACATAGTGACCCTATGTCGCCCAGAAGAAGGGACCTTGCGTGGCCCCGAAACGTTGGCCGTTTGACGCATGTGACAATTTAATAAAAAGTGCTTTAGTTCTTGCACATATCATCGAGTGCTGGTGACTTCTATTATGGACGGTATCTGACACGGCGCCATCCGTGTTGTCACTTCAAGCACCAACCTCTTACTCAAGGTCTGCACTCAGCCCCAGGTTTAAGAGGATGTCTGCTTTCAAACAAAACACAGAAAGACTGAGGCTATCCTCCACACTTGAAATGTGTGTAAAATTCGCGCTCTGAGCAGACTGCCATTTTTCATGGTCCAGCCATGGTAACACATTTGCAAGGTCTTCATGGCTGGACTATCCTATTCTGGGATAAGTCACGTAACTCCATGCAGTGGTAGCTTCAGTGCTACTCCACAGCGCTACTTAAAAAAAGCATTCAATGTGGGGTTTACCCTGTGCTGACCTGCAATTTCCCAGTTCAGTAAGCTGCATGTATGGATACCTTCAAATGTGCACAAGTTTGTGTATATTCATCCTTCGTTATGTATGTAGCTGTAATTCACACATGGAGCTTCACAGTACTTTGCTAGTCCAAGAACATCTAATTCTTTGCACACCAATTTCCACTGCAATGATGGACTACACGTGACTGAGATCTCCATTCTTAACCGAGATGATTGAGGGCAGCGAAAACATTGAAATATGGAGTGATGAGCTAAGTATGTCTAATTCAGTTGGACAATCTCAGCCTAAAGCTAAAGTGCAGAGGGAATAAATCAATAGCACTCAATTATATAATTTCTCATGGCTACAAAAAACTGGAACCTGCTTGACGGTTATTACACTACTTATTCTGATGACTGTTTGCACGGCCTTGCCGAACAATTCAATTTGAGTCTTACAGCCTGAAAATACAGGAGCGCTTCACCCCTGCAAGCTTCCTATAAATCAGACACTATTCAAAGTTCATTTTCAAGCTATGAAAGGAGTGGGATCAGATTTTACCTCACATTCTTGCTCTTTCGCAGATAAAGATTCAACGCTATCTTCCTCGCTATCACTATCCGAATCCTCATCCAAGTTGATAGGACAAGAGTACGGGCATGTCTCCTGGGTCTTACTCGAAGCACCATCCTCACTGCTTAGCTGTGGACTGTTGGCACATGCATCATTAGTGAGATTGCTGATGAAGGGGCAGGATACTGGGTTAAGTGTAGTAAAAGTCCGTTCCTGGACCTCGTTGGATATGGAGATGCCCAGCCATGGACATTCAGTCCTTTTCTCCATGTTGTTGTTCTCCAACTGCGGTTCCTTGCTGGTCAACATCTCCAACTCTTGCTTGCATGGAAATTCAGCAGGGTATACATCAGGCCAAAAACCTTTGGCAAGATGTTCAGCAACCTCTCTTTCCACATTGCTCCGCTCCCTTATTAGTGGAAGGCTTCCAGCAGCACAAAGTGGAGTCTCCGCTACTAGCTCTGAGGTTGGAGATTCAGCTGCCTGTAGGTTGCTCTGACGACTGTTGCTCCCTTCTGGCAAACCCGCTGTGCTGGAGTCATTGGGGGTGTCTGAGTAGTTTATTAAGCTCCTGTATGGTTGATATGCACTGAAAGGCACTGAGCTGAAGTCTTGAGGTCCCAAAGGAAAACAAGGTGGGTATGCAGCAGTCATGACTACTTTGTTATCAACGCAGGTAAGGTTTTGATAAGTATTGCCGGGGCCCTGTGATGGTACTGTATTTACTTCCACGTCAGGCTTGGTTGCATGAATATCCTCCACCTGAGGTTTTGGCTGACTGACTGGTTCAGAAGCATCAACTGAGGTCGCTGGAGATAGACTCTGAGCATCCTGATTGCTGGAACACGTACTGACAGACCGAACCCGGCCATTTTTACAAGCTTTCTGAAACTTTCTGTACTTTGGGCAAAGTGAGAATCCGGAAGCACTGTCTCTGTCTAGGCAAAGCGATTCGCAGGGCTGCTTAGGGCTCTCGGGAGATGGGGAAATATTTTCGATCTCTGCTGGACATTTCAGGTTCTGGGTAAATTCCCCTCTCCACAGCTCTTCCACCTCGTGAACCTGCACTCTTCCCGACTCGCTCTGTTGCCCAGCTGCCTTCGGGCAGAAAGACTTGCAGCATTTCTTTCTGGGGTAATCTGCCGGCTTGGCTTTGTTGTCCTGAAACTTTAAATTCAGGAATTCAAAACAGGTTTCTTCAACATCGTGGATTTCGAGCAACTTGGCGCATTTTCTGATTTCTGAAAAGTTATCTCTGGTGACATAAAGCTTTGAGGTATATGCAAACTGAAGGAGAGGCAAAAACCCTTTCACAGTTACCTGCAAAAAAACCAAACAAAAAACACTTTAGTAGAATATTGTTTATGCATACCAGTAAAATAAATAAATCATTTAATATTAGGGCTGCAATCTAATCAGTACTGTAACTTCAACATGCTACCAGATGAATTATGGGTTATCTGTAGCAGGACTACGGGATAGCTTTAGCAGAACTACATGCTGTAGTACCATCAGGTTTGCCTCGCTATTTGCAATACTAACGGATAGCCTCTGCATTAGCAGTAATACAAGACACAGCTGTAAGTTTAGTGCCACCCCCTCTCACCTCTTCGGGAAGGGTGATAGTAAAGTCCCCATCGTAGGCCTGGACAACACGGGAGAGGAAATAATCACTGGAAGCTGCGAGGACAGTACGATGAGCCTGGAACCTCTGATTTTCCACTATCACAGTCACATCGCAAAGTAGACCGTGCTCCCGGTGAAGGTTCAGACGAAGGAGGACATTGGCGCTGTGAACCGAGGACTCGTAGGCGAAAGGAGCATCCTTCTTCTCATTATAAGACATCCTGTATAAGGTGCTCAGCAAGCATGCTTCCCTGTATGTTCAACACTGCAATAGAACAACAAGGACAGCATTAAAACATGGACTGACAATTCAGCACTTTAAATACACAAAAATGAAATGACATTCAATACAAATTAAAGCGGAAGTCCAATTCAAGCAGATAAATGCCCATTGTGTTCTTTAAAAGCAACTAGTGCACCTGAATGTGACTTGATATCAGCCGCTCGCGATGCCCTGTACAGCAGTACTCCTCCCCTAGTAGAGGGAAAAGCAGCATAAGTAACGGGAAAAAAGGTGACAGGAGGAGAAAGCAGACAGATGAGCTGCTGCTTCTCCTTCACTGTCCAATCACATGCTGGGGGAAGAACAAGACCTATTTGTATTACTGAACTGCTGTAGAAAAAAAAAAGTCAGGCCCCCAGGCTGGCTGTTCTGTATGGCATTTGTCACGTTTGCTTCACTCTGCCCCATCACTGAAATACACACATAAGTATCAGATGAGACTAAAACTCAACTCTAGCCATTTTCTTCCCACACTTTTCTCAGGCGTTTATTTATATCTGTGGGCCCATTCACACCACATCCGGATCAGACCAGATTGTTTCCGGACCAAAAAATGCATCCTAATGTATCCCTATGCTATTTCTGGTTCACACGAGCGCAGTCCTTTCCAGACCAGACCAGAAAAATACTACATGTCTCTTTTTGTCTGGTCTGGAATGCACTGGAACTGCGTGCAGGCTCACACCATTTTCCAGACCAGATCCGGTCCGGATCGTTTTAACCCTTCCCCATCACTTCCTGTCCTGACATCTACCCAATAGGGACTAAGACAGCAGTAAAAACCTCCCATAAGCTCTAACCCTTCTCCGCTCTATACCAAACAAAAGAAAACGTTTTGTCTAGGGTGATAAAACACTCCTCAGCGTTTTAGTCACATATGTAACGCTGGGTTACATACGTTGCAGCTTTCATATAATAATACACTCCGAAACGGTCAGGAAGGTCCTTATTAAGGCACTTCCTGTTATTGGGTGACATTGGTCTACTATTTGTGCTGCTGCCTGTCACATATGCTCCCAATGGAGACTACAAGCAGCTGCATGACACACATGATTATGGTCTACCGTTGTCATCATCTGAACGCTGGTCCAAAACATTAATGTGTAGCCCATGCTGAAGTGTGTGCATGTAGACAGGAAGTGGCTGAAAGAGGGTGGAGCAATGAGATGCAACAAAGCATTAAAAAAAGGTGAAACCAGTAATAAAAAATGGCACATGCTAATAACACCGAGTGCTTTAAAAAAAATTAATGTAGTTAGGGGTTAGATCACAAGAGACAAGAGGCTTTAGCAATCATTGTATGTCTAAGAACAATTCCCTTTATCTAGAAAATAGCAGCTCATCGTATAGAAAGCTGCTTGTTATGATGAAGACAATCATTTACTGAGTCAAGCAGAACATTTTCCTTTAGATTTAGGGACTAGGGCATTAAATGGCACGTCCAGAGATTGGGTCATGCGAGGACACAAAATAATTGGCTTTCATTGACTCGTGTTCTAAATTCATTGCGGAAATACTAAGAAGAGCCAACAAATTGTGATTCTGCAAACAAATACAATGTTGTTCCTAATTATAGGACACAGCGAAGCATTCTTGTATCTAAAATGGCCGCATGATGACCTAATATTTCCAGAGTGTCTCCAGGTTTGTAGTATAACCAAATAGACACAGATTTTAATTTAAAGAGGAACGTCACCACCCCCCCTCCATGTTTTATTTACCCGTATACATTTTTCTTATGCACAATTAACAAACTCATCCGACCAGGAAGTCCAGTGTTGTCCTGCTACCTTATCCCACGCCGCAATCTGACATCATCAGGAGTCAGCTGTCTCTTCCTGGTTCAACGGTAAGGCCCCATTCACACTGAGCGACTTGCGATATTGAGCGACTTTTTCCTATTGGGCTGTATGCAATCAGGAGCAAAATCGCTCGAAAAAAGGGTCATGTAGGAGCGACAAGCTACAGCGACGAGCTACAAGCGATATTGAGTGATATTGAGAGGCGAAATATGAACAGCTCCATTGAAATGGATTAGAGAAGCTACATGGAAAATCGCTCGATAAATCACTCAGTGTGAATGGGGCCTAAGTGTGAGGCGTTGGACATAAATTTTCAAGCAAAACGGTAAAATCACTATTAAAGCTTGTTGGCTTTGACTTGATGATTGCTCAACACAAAACCGGGGGGGCCTCTCTGCTTAAAGGGGGGGGGGGGCACCCCAATCGAGAAAGCTACATGTTGTTAGGCCTAAAGAGTAGGGATGCACCTTTATAAATCGGCCAAAAATTGCACTTTTGGCATAATGCCGAAAGTGCCATTTTCTGGCCGATACAGCGGTGCATCCATTCTCTCTCTCCTCCCCGCTGGGCGCTGCTCTGTGTCCCAGCGGGGAGGAAAGAAATTGTCACAGGCAGCTGAGCGCTGCGGGAGGAAAGCGCTGTGAGCGGACGGCGTCTCTCCTCCCCGCACCGCCCAGCCTTCTGTCACAGAACGGCAGAGTCATGTGTGGGCGGTCTGTGACAGCTGTCAGGATAGAGAGTGGAACAAACACTCAATGATCGCTGAATGTTTGTAAATAATTGGGAGGACATAGTATGTTGACTATATCCTCAATTATGAATGAATGGGAAGTGATCTACATCACCTCCTGTTCATTCACGATTGTGGTTATAGTAAGCACACTATGTCCTCAAGTTATGAATGAACGGGAACACTCATAGAAGATCCCTGTTCATTTATAACAGGGGCTGCAGAAAAAGCGATAGAGGACCCTGTGTCCTCAATCTCTTTTTCTATTTTAAAAAGGGAAATATCAGGGGTCTGTTTAGACCCCTAATATTTCCCCGAAGCCCCTAAAAGTAAAAAAATAAAAATATTTAATAATAAAAATAAATATAAAAAAAAATTAAAAGTTTATAAAAAAATAAAATAATATTTGAAAAAGTTCAAATAAAAAACATTTTCAGTTTCGACCTGACTGTTGGTTTTGAAATTTTCATTTCGGTGCACCTCTACTAAAGAGAGTGACAAATCAGGAGATAGAAGTCCAAAGTCTTTCAATAAATGTCTGATGACAACCAGAATACAAATACTGCCAATGTGTTTCGGGGCCAAAAACATCCCCCTTCATCAGGGCTAACAGAAGGCAAGGTTATGGAAGGACTCAGAAAGCTGAACGCAGAAATGTGCTGAAATAAACTGGGCAGCCGTTTAGTATAGCATTGCTGATGAGAGTCAAGGAGATACCAGGAGATAGATTGATCTTTCAGCCCACCCCCTGATGATGCGCTGCCATGTCTGTCCCTTCCGTCGTTGTATGGAACTTGAAGCATCCTGGTATATGTGACATGCATATCCTAAGAGGCTTCAGAGAGGAGGAGACATCATTCTCACCTACATGTGAAAGCGGCCCTGGGGAAAGGGGGGGGGGTTTGGGTTTGTATTGCAGGTATACTGCAAAAATCTAGTTTTTGCCATTTTAGATTGGGGAGTGGTGGAGTGCAACGATGCCTAGTGTATCTGGTGAGTGAAGGTGGGCTTTATTAGAATTTAACATATTTTTGAATATATAGCTTTACATAAAACACACACACTTTTTTTTACAAGCAAACATTGAATACAATGCATCATTCATGGCAAAGGCAAAGCATTATGGATTTCCTAAAGAGAGCACAGCAGAAGCTATTTCCTTTCTGACTCTGTCTCTCGATTCAAACTTCCTACAGAACCAACTGAAAGGACTAAGATAGGATAGAGTCGCTGCCCCAACTCATTCACGTATGTAAATTTCAGCTCTGGTTATTGAGCTCTGTAAACATCAGGCTTTTTTCCATGGAAAGGTGCTCTGCCTAGTGACTAGATATTTCCTATGCAAAATATTTTTATAGGATTAGCCTAGACCTTAAAGGAGAACTATGAGGTGAGTGCTTTTCACTCTAGCCGATCTGTGACAATGAGACTGTCACAGGTCGGCTCAGTAGATCGGGAGGTGAGCGAACATATATCGGCGTTCGCTCACCTCTCGATCCTGTCACGGCTCTCTGCCGTGACAGGGGAGGGGCTGGATTCCCCCCTCCCCGATCCACCAGCGCTGAGTGGCGGATCGGACGGGGGAGGGTACAGCTGGCTCTGCCTCTAGATAGGCAGAGTCAGCTGTCACTCACGCAGCTGGGCGGATCTCGACATCGATGTCGGGATCCGCTCCGGCGTCTCAGTATACCACGAGCTGTAGCTCGCGGTATACTGAGCTTAGGGTAACGGGAGGACGCTAGTTTGTGTCCACCCGTTACCCTAAGGAGAACTATGGGGAAAAGCCCCGACCCCATAGTTCTCCTTTAAAAAAAGAAAGGAAAGGACATAAGTACAAAACCACTGTACATTCCTTATAAGAGGAATATAAACAACCACAGGGCTATATGATATTACACATTCTCAGAAACCATGAGACAGCGTGCTATCAGCATGAGTACAGGGACAACATCAGCAGTCAGAGAGAAGGACTCCCCGCTCCACTGTGCTACAAGACTGTAAAGCCGCATAAAGGGTAAATATATAAATCTGTCATGACTGTTTCTCTTTCAAAAGTCAACCTGTCAAAAGCAGGGCAATTCTAACTGATGAATCATATGATGATAAAATGTATATGCAGAGATTACCTGGCTGATCTTAAAACAACGACTAGATCCAGAGATCTGGGCACCTGGAGGTCTATGCCCGCCTCTACGTCATTACTTGTGTGCGAGACTTCAGTTGGGCCCTAAATCCAGATGCTGGGAAAAACGATCATTTACATTCCACATTGGGGTGTGTAATTACTAAAAAGCTTCATGCTTTGTATGGAGATTCTCTGCAAAGTGTAAAAAAATCTTCCCTTGCAGCATGTCATCTCCTACACATAACACTCGGCTTCTGGGCACTGTACAGCCACTCAGATCACTTGTAATAGCCTGCTTGTCCGTGATTGTGTGTGCTGCC